CACACATTCTATCAATAAAATAATATTACACATAAACCTAAAAATTTTCCTTACTTTTTAACCACACATTCTTCCATCAATCACTATTCAAAAACACATTTTTCTACTAAAATGGGTGTCAAACACCCCCATAATTGTAAAAGTGGAATTTTGAGGCTTCCTACGATAATAAAGAAATGTACAAAAAACAATACTTTGTGTTTAAACTAAAGGAATCAAAATGGACAAGGTGACACCTTAATCATCTCAGATTGCTCGTCTCTTTCTCCATAGAACTCCTGTAGAGCCAACAACAATGATCATGAAATAAGATGAGAGATATATTACACCACAAAGTTCTAACGGAAACCAACTAACAAATCAAACTAAATAATAACAATGCAGAATAATGCATGGTCTTTTATGCATGTTTATAATTGCTTCAACAGTAAGTTGGAGAAAATACCTCCACATCATTGACAAAGCCTTCAAGTGCACGATATGGTGCATAAACAATAAGATCAAATCCTAGACTCTGCAAGGACAGGGAAATCTATCAAAATATAAGAGAAAAAACAACAGAAGAAAATAGTATACGCATGTAATATTCATGCCTGAAGAACCAGCATTTCATTATCGAGGATCATCTGATGATCCTGCTCAATCCCTTTACCAAGCTCCTCAGCTGATACGTGGTTCTCTTCTGCCTTACAAGCAGCATATATGCAGGTTAACCTACAATGGAAGTAAGTCATACAAATTCGTCGTAGCTACTGATTGATAAATAGAATTCTGTTCTTCTGTATCTAGTGTTTAGTGTGATAACTATGACATAAGCATGAAGCAAATTGTCCAATTGTCTATTGTTAAGAGGGCAAGATGATGTAAACAAGGTTTAGTGTTATCTTTTGAGGTTTTTACTGTATTTTAACCTTTAAAACAAAAGAGAAACTTCTAAAATTAATCCAAACTAATGTCTCAATTGAGATGTAATCATACATGATGTTCTTTGGGTGATGTTCCATCACAGACCATTGCAGATAAAACCTTTTAAAATAAATAAGAGCTGTTGCCTGAAAACAAGAAGCAAATAAAAAGTAAATTTAGAATCACAATCTAATCCCTATAATTTATTGATCAACATCATGTTCAAGAAACATAACCCTATACCTGAATTTTGCGTGGGAACTTGAAGGCATCACATACATCTTGGATTTTGAACTCGTAGAAAGCCCGGAGAAGTTTTTCTTCCTCAGTCTTCAGTGGTTTTGGACGAGAATGCTTCTCAGCTGACACACCAGTGAAAATAGCAAGGTACAAAAACAAATAAAATAAGGATGTCATCTTTCGTCAACAAGGAATATTCTACTGGAATTTGCAACTAGTTATAAGGTAGAGATATGATTTTAAGATGAAGAGTTTACCATAATCATTGTGAGGTTCGGCATAAGAGAATGAACCATCAATGTCGACTTCCATTCGAGTTGCTCCATACTTACACACATGCTACGGTCTTAGCATCATTGGAATAACATATTGATACAGAACAAATATTCTAGGAATATTAAACTTGTACAAATAAAGATGGTGATGAACCTTTACCATAATGATAAATAACTATCAAAATAGCCAGCAGTACTAGGTCCTCTATCTATGTCTCCAAAAAACCGACTTAACTTCTAATATTTTCATTTCTAAAAGGCTAACTATTTTTCTAATACTAACTTACTTTCTTTTTCTTCAAGGGACAAGACTTCTAACTGTTTAGTTGATCCTTTATGCACAAGAAAGAGAGGAAAAAAATAATGATAAAAATGTTAGTGGAACTCTGGCGTCATCTTATATGTACACATTACACAATGAAAACATTATTTTCTGAGATTCAGTAAGATATAGAACGGCAACTAGTGGAGTCATAAATAGTAAGAGCAAAGCATTTAACCATGCCTACTCAGATCTTCTTCAGTTCACCAACGCAACTGCAGTGAGGCAACCATCTCCAATCAAAGCACAATGTGCAGAGCCAAATTCAAGATTCACTATTCTGAACTTAAAAGGACTCAATTACCTAAAATTAGAAAGCTTTCCAAGCTGGAAAACAATAAAACAGGCCCTTTTCAGGTATGACAAGAAGTTAACAGCTACTGAGGTCATTGCTTCTCAAGTTTGTAGCTAGGGTTTATTTTGCCATTATAATTAGAAAATCAATTTTTTAGTTCCCATTTCTCTCATCAAAAAGCAGTTATATATCTTTGTAATCCCTTTTCATTTATTTTATTGATCAATTTCTCCCCTTTATCTATCACATGGGTTAATGGTGCTCAATAGATTTCCTACAGATCCCATTCCATCAATTCTGCATAGTTAAGATTCAAAAGAACATCAAATTTAAGAGGCGCCTGCACAGAGACACACACATATATATCGACATAACATAAAAATACCTTCTCCAGTGCTTGCTTAGCTCTTTGATTAGCAGCCTTATATTTTTCTTTCTGTATAGAATCAGAAAAGGAAGAGTGATGTTATTTTAATTCAATTTCCCAAATAAAAAAAGGGTAAAAAAAATAATAATAGAATGCCAAGAAACTAATAATTTCTTCAACCTTCTCAGACGAAAAATGGACTAAAAAAGATAATAACATAATGCCTAGAAATGAATAATTTCTTAAACTTTCCCAAATGAAAAAGGAGTAAAACAAAAATTAACAGTGACCAGAAATTAATTATTTCCTCAACTTTCCCAAATGAAAAGTGGAGCAAAGACGGTAATATATTGAATGCCTCGAAATTAATAATTTCTTAAACTTTCCCAAATGAAAATGGAGTACAAAACATAATAATAGAACAAACTTCTTAAACTTTCCCATATGGGAAATGGAGTAAAGTGCCCAGAAAATTTATAATTTCTTCAACTTTCCCAAATGAAAAATGGTTAAAAAGATATAACAGAAAGCCCACATACTAATAATTTTTCAACGGCGATAAAGTGGGAAAATATTAAAAACAAATCAATAAATAAATAAAAAATACAAGTTTAGAATGGATGAGTGAAGAGGAGTCATTACAAGATCTTGAGGAGTGAATATCCATTTTGATCTGTGAGTAGATGTCGTAAAATCAGCCATTGCTCTCTCTCCAACGCGACGACGCTAAAAAGGGTGTTGGCGAATCAAGATTCCCGTTTGTATCGAATGATTGCGCACGTTTAGCTATTTTTGAATAAATATAAATAAACTTCGTTTAAGAAGTTACTTTTTATAACAAAGAAAAGAAAATAAGGCTGCAGGGTTAAAAATTTAAATAAATAAAATAAATAATAATTTGCGTGTAATATAAAAAATAATAATTTGCGTGTAACAAAGAAAATAAGGGCTGCAGGGTTATCATTTTTAAAAAAATATTTGCGTGTAATATTATTTTATTGAAAAGCACATGATCGTAATAAGATTAAATTACTATTCAAAAATGTATTTTATTGAAAAAAGAATTCAAACAAGCGCTAAGTGATCTCTTCTCGATAGAAATAAAAATTTCGATTTTAATCTAAATTAAAGTTAACAATTAATTTTAATCATAAATTTTATAGATTCAACAATTTTTTAATCACAAATTTTCATCAATTTTTATCAAAATCTGTTAAAAATTTAATTTTAATCCCCATCAAATAATGACTAAATTATATTAAAATTTTAAATAGGTAAATTTACAATGGCGTTCAAATTTTTAACAAATTTCAAAAGTTCTTCTAAATTTAAGTGTTCTCGATTGAGATTTTAATAAATATTATTAAATTTATATTTGATGGTTATTATTTTGAAAAAAAAAATAGAATTTCGAATAATGATTTTTTTAAGAATGTACGGTCAAAAATTATGAAAAAAAATTAAATTTATATGCAAATTATTTTATTATGTTTAATTTCATTAAAATCCTTTAAAATTTATGTATCTTCTCGTGGATCTATAAAAAATTCATTAATAAAATAATGGTAATTACATTACCACTACAATTTCTTTTAAAACTTTGTTATTGTGGCATTTATGAACCCAACTTGTTTTTGTCATATTTTTACCCTCGAATTTTCATCACTTTCAGTACAAAAAGTTCATTAGTTAGGTATAAAATGACTTATTTACCTTGTAGATAATTTCATAGTAATCATGCTAAGAACAAGAATCACATATTCTAATTGATAGTTCGAAATTCATATCTGCGAAATACATTTTTATGTATGAATATTACCAACTAGATTTTTATCTCCTTGCTCCTTAAAATAATTAACCGTCAATGCGACAAGTCTATACCATATGGAGAGGAGAGGGGACCTAGCCATTATATAGGAAATCATAAAGTCGCCACATTACCAACTCTAACCTTAATTAGGGTTCACATAATTTTGGCCCACATACTTAAAATTACTACATTATAATAAGTGAAACTTACAAAAATACCCTTAAAATTAAGGGTCTTTAAAAAATCATAAAAAACATATTTTGAAAGTAAAAAATACTGTGTAAAATAAATTGTCTCACTTTTTTTAAATTAAAAAATGACATACAATGTTACTTTTATTAAAAAAAATGATGTTTGTCCCTCAAAAAAGTAATAGAACTTTCAAAAAATTGACAAAAAAAGTAATAAACATTAAAAAAGTGATAAAAATGTAATAAAAAGTGTCGAACACTAAAAAAAGTGACAAAAATTCAAAAAAGTGATAAATTAGCAATTTTCATGTTGTTGTAATACAATTGAGTTATTATTTGCCCGATTGAGGCATGACAGAATACCTTATCATTTTTCTAAAGTCCAAGTTAAACATCTCCGTAGCACTTCCAAAACATTCCACTTTTTTCATGAATCTCAACAGATTTATTGGTAAAAATAAATATAAAAAACAATAACATAAACTTTAAAAAAAAGTGACATAAACTTTAAAAAATGTTGTAGTCTACTGATCTGTGTGAGAAACAAAAGATTTTTGATGTTATTTTTTTCAATAAGATACTTATTTAAAGATCTCTTTCATTTAGAACTCTCTCAAGTCAATTTAAAAAAAGTGACATAAACTTAAAAATGTGACAGAAGCATAAAAAAGTGACACGAGTTCACATTGTAATTTGACAAAAGCATTGTGCTTCACAAGTAACTCAACTATGACAAATGTTTCACAAAGAGTAGCATAATGCAGTGATGTTTAACCTTCATTGTCCTTTAGACAGTTATCCAACAACATTACGGGCACAACTGACAACCCATCTCATTCCGATGCCCTTACTACATTAGGTGCAGGATAAATCTTTAAAGGTGATACAAGATTCAGAATCCAAATGCAGAAACTCGTATATACACCACACATAACTAAAAGTTCAACGTTATATTGATTTGTAAATTATAAGATTCATATATAAAAACATAATTTAATCATAATAAAATGTGACAACACGATATATATCTATTCAATTATTAAACGAGTCAAATATATTAGTCGAAAGTGACAACACTAAAAAAAGTGACAACAATGAAAAAGTGGAAAAAAAAGGCCGGCAGGGATTAAAGAAAAAAAAAAAAAGTTTTCAGCAGCCATTGGGAGAAGCCGGCAGAAATAAAATCATATATATACACACACCGAACGAAGCTGAATTCTGAGAAAGTTGGGGCTGAAAGTGGAGAATTGCAGTGATATATTTAAACACACAATAGTGGCACGCAAGTATTCTTGGGAGGAAGTTGCAGATTTTGAATAATATATATTTATATGTATACTCACACAGCGACACGGCAGTTTGGTGGAGGAATAGGCTGCTGAATTTTTGGAAGAAGGACTTCAATTTTTTTTACTATATACACGCAGTGGCCGGCAGCAAAGTGGAGGAAACTCGGCAGCAGTAAGGCTTTGACATTAA